TGGGCGCGGGGCCTACTGGGGATGCTGGGGAATTTATACCCGGCTGGGGCGCAGAGCCTACTGGCATGCGGGAAGGATCTATACTAGGGCTTTCATGCCGAGCCTACTGGGATTCAGGGATATTATACTCCGGCTGGGCGCGATTTACGGCCGCGAGGGACCCATACTCCGGTTGGGGCGGAGTCCTACTGGCATGCGGAGGATCTATACCCGGCTGGGCGCGGAGTCTACTGGGATGCGAGGGAATCTATACTCCGGCTGGGGCGCGGAGCCTACTGGGATGCGGGGTTAGGAACTCTGGATGACTCGGAGGTTACGAGGATTATAAGGTTAGGAAGTGGGAAAAGGGGTTGGAAACAATAAGAACACACGAAGATTTCTTTTCTTGTTTTAAGCTTTATTCAGTATGGGTCCTGGCTGCTGCCCTCACACTAGGGATACTGGGCTTACGTGAATGGCGTTGTAGATATACCTGTGGCGTTTTCGAATTAATTATCTCGGGGTGAATTTTCCGCGCGCGTCTATACTCGACCAGAGTCAAAACCAAAAAGGAGGAAAGAAAGGCCGAGGGCGAAAATCAGCGATCGCCCTTTAAAGCCGCGTCTGTGCTCGCTGAATTCAGTTCCCCGCTATCGATCGCGCTATCGATCGCGGGAGTTCATGAGTGCGATAACGCGTTAGGTGGGCTGTGTTTTGGGTGCGTGTCCTGGCTTAAATTAATACTGGGTTTTTAATGAGTTTTGTAACTTTTTAATTTGGTACGCAATGGGGGGACTCGTGTCCGAGCTTATAACTAATAACAAACTTAAAACTAGGGTAATAATGTATATGGAGGGAGTGGCGTGATTTGTACGCCCTAAATTTAGGGCGTTACATCCCCCCTTACTTCCGGGAAGAAAAGAGACGGCTCCAGCTCCGGTAGGCTTCATGGTCACCTGGTACGAGCCTTCTCGTCTGTCGCGACTCGGAATCGCTGCCTTGGACATCCGGGCGGAGGGTTGTCGTGCGCAGATGGTCTGCCAGACGACGGCTGGGACTCGTTCGTCCGTGCTGTTGCACTTCCACCCATCCGGGGGCGGGTAGCGCTCGCGTCCCGGGGTTGGGACGTCGTCGGAGTCTGAGTGGCCATCGTTCGTTGCTGTCTCCTCGGGCTGCGGTTGGGTCCGTGCGTCCCAATCGGTGGTCGACTCCCAGCGCAGGCTCTCCATTTCTGGCGCGATCTGTCCCAGCAGGAGGTCGAAGGTTGTGGGGGACATTGCCATTGAAACGTCCGAGGCGCTAGATGTGGGTGTGGCCGAGGGTGTGCGCTGTCGGCGATAGTCTCCGCATCTGGTTCCCTTGGGGGACCGTGTCGATGGCTGCGCTGGCTGCTGGGGGTGCGTGACGCACCACGGCGGGGGGCAGGCTTCGCGCCGGAAGCGTTGTCCGGTGCTCTCCTCGTCGTCACTGACCTGACTCCACTCCATCGTTTTACCCGTAGGGTGGTGCGGGGCTTGAACGCAACTGGGGAAGGACTGTCTCGCGGGGCTCGATCGCCAGTGGCCCGTGCGAGACTTCGGAGCGAGTTGCAGAGAGGACGTGGTGGGCAGCTCTGATCCCATCTCCGTCTTGGGGACTGGTGTGAGGTCGACTGTGGGTCTGTCGCTCCGGGTATCGGTTCCCTCGGTCTCGTTGGTCTCATCGGGCCCCATAATGCACAGGCACGGGGGACGCTGGAAAAGACACACCGTCATCGGGTGGCCGGGATACGGAGCCTCCACTTGGACCATTTCCCAGTTCGTCCGGAAGAGGTAGATCCAGGACCCCTGGTCATACCCGTAGCGGTCCTCACCAGTGTACACGTAATGGATCACACCTTCCCGGGGACCGTCGTCGTTCGCGGCTATCCCTCGAGTATGCGTCCTCGGTCTCGTCGTAGGGCTCGGTCTCCAGTGCGTCCGGAGTCGTCACTGCCGACGTCTTCCACGTAGGGCGCTCTGTTCCTCCCGTTGTGGGAACTGATGGACGGTTCCGGGTGGTCGGGGCCTGCGTCCGCACGGGTTGTACTCCCTTAATTGCGTCCTGGCGACCCGGCTAGTCGGGCTCGCTGCCTGGGCGCCTGATAAGTCCGGTGTGTCCCGCCGCGTCCGTGTAGAACGGAGATACTCCTCTGGTCGGAGCGGGGGCGACATCGGTTCGTCGTCGTCTTCGTCGTGGGTTTGTGGGGCTCGACGCTGCCCAGCGGGATCGTGTCCGAGCGCTGGGTCCCGGCGAGGATGGTGTCGCTCCTCCAGGGCCACCTGGCTGGCACTTTCCCGTCGGGCATGACCGGTGGCCAACTGGCGTACGCCGCTCCCGGACGTAGCCGAGGGTCGCGTGTGGTCGTCGGCTGCGGATCGCTCTTCTGGAATCGAGGTGTGGACCTTCCGTCGCTATCGTCGGATGACAGCTCGATTGTGTCCATTGGTTGGTCTGTGAAAGAGGTGACTAAACTAACTTAGTTCTATTGATTTTTAACAACAGGGGTAAAATGGGCAGCAGCAAAAGGAATCTCCTAACTTTTGAGTTTACAATGAGTTCTACGTTAGTGGGTCTAAAGGAAGTTGAGGCACTTAAGATCACCCCTCGTTGATTGTGTCGGCCGATTGGCCTCGTTGGGACGGCGGGTTGATCGCCGGTGTCTTCCTTGGGGATCTCGCTGTCTTCATCGTCGGAGTTACCTGGGGAAGAAGAATGAAACGCTTTTAAGTACCAATAGCAAGTCGTCTTTCCGCTGACAGGGTAGGCGGATTCGGACGACATTAGGTGAAGGGAAAGCGACCACTTTGTACGGTCCGTCGAATTTCGGGGCGAGCTTCGCTGCGAACCCTTCTGCCGCTTTGGACAGATGGTGCTGCCGCACGAGGACCAATGATCCCATCTCGGGCTTCCAAGTTCGACGGCGCAAGTTATAGTGCCTCCCCTGCTCTCGGCTGGCCTTTTGGTTGTTCTGCACGATTTGAAGATTTCCTTCAAGCGGTCCGCTCTCTCCGATGGGCTCTGGGGCGATGTTGCTGTTCCGGGGTTACGCTGTCGTACCAGGATCCAGGCAGCCGCGGTTCTGGAGCTTGTAAAAGGAAGGCCGGGCTACATCCGGTTCATTCCGAGACACTGGTGTTGATCGCGAGTGACAGCTCTGGTAGCAACCGGTCCCAGGTGTTCTGTCCAATCTCCACGTATTATGCGATCATGGTCTTGACCGTGCGGTTCGCGCGCTCAGTCGGGTTCTCTCGCGGGCAATATGGGGCGGTAAATTGGAGATCTACTCCCATTTCCCTGAGGAAGTCCTTGAATGCCTTGCTGGTGAATTGTGACCCGTTATCACACACTAGTTTCCTCGGGGGCTCCGGAATGGCTGATGATCCGTTCGCGGAAGGCCCTATCAGAGTCGCCGTGGTTGCCTTTCGTAGGGGTATCAATTCGACCCACTTGGTGAAGGTGTCGAAGAAGACGAGGAGTGTGGTATTCCCCTCTTTTGAGCGAGGTAGCGGTCCGACGAAATCCGCACATAATATGCCAAAGGGCTCGTTGACCTGCCTCGTTAGCATCTTCCCAGCTTGTTGCCGCTGCTCTGCCTTGTATTTCCGGCACGGGATACACTGACGTATGTGCCGTCGCACATCGCGAAACATCCCTGGCCAGTAGTATTTCTGGGAGATCCTGATAATTGTTTTTCTAACGCCAAGATGTCCGACCGTGGGTGCATCATGGCATTCATGTAGAATCCGGGCTCGGTGTTCGGCTGCTACGCACAGCTTCCAGGGTACGTAATCCTGGTCATCTGGACGGTGGCCGAGGTGGCGATATAGTTCTCCGTTCTCGATGATGAAGTCGGGGAACTTCTGTGGGTCGTCCCGGACTTCCTTCAGCTTCCGTTGTAGCCACTTGCACTGGTGCTCGTCTTGCGTAAGTCTCTGTAAGCGCTCCAGAGGTTGCCGGGATAGGGCGTCAGCTACTACATTATACTTCCCTCGGCGGTAATGTACGTCGTATTGGTATTGCTGGAGCCTCTAAGGCCCATTTAGCAATTCTCCCGGTTGGGTTTTCTATTTGGTCCAGCCATTTCAGTGCCAAGTGGTCGGTGATTACATCGAATCTATATCCTTCAAGGTAGTATCGCAATTTCCGTATTCCCCCAAACTATGGCCAAGCACTCTTTTTCGGTGGGCGAGTAATTAAGTTCCGCGGCATCGAGCTTGCGGCTGACGTAGGCAATAACCGTTCCTGGCCGTCGATTTCCTGGGTCAATACTCCTCCGAGTCCGTAATTGCTGGCGTCAGTCTGGAGTGTCATCTTGACAGAGAAGTCTGGGCATGCCAGCGCGGGTGCGTTTGTCAGTAGGCTTTTCAGGAGTTCAAAGGCACTCTGTTGCTCCGTCTCCCACTTCCACCGTTGGTTTTTCCTTAGCAGGTTCGTCATGGGCTGGACCACTGAGGCGAAAGAATCGCCGGTACCAAGAGGCCATCCCGAGGCATCTCCTCAGCTCCCGTAAGCTCGTGGGAGGGCTAAGGGTTTCAGTACGGCGGCTACCTTGCCCAGTTTCCTCTTGAAGAATGAGCACTTTTCTTGGTTGATGCGCAGGTTGGCTCTCCTCAGTCGCTCGAAGACTTTGCACAGGTTGTCCATGTGTTCCTCCAGGCTGGCTCCGATGACAATAATGTCGTCGAGATAGGCGAATGCGTCCGGGTCGAGGTCCGCCCGATCACACTATCTAACGCACGCTGAAAGGTTGCTGGGGCCGAATGCAAGCCTAAAGGCATGACTCGCCACTGAAATAGGCCTCGTCCGGGTACCGTAAATGCGGTACATGCCCAGCTGTCCTTGGCCATGGGTATCTGCCAATATCCATTGCGCAGATCCAGGGTCGAGATGAATTTTGCGTTCCTCAGTCGTTCGTGATCCGGTGTTCCGCTATGTTGGCTACTCCCGCCATTCCTTCAAATTGTGCTAGGTGTTCCTCGAGGAACGCTTGGGCTTGCGGATTAATCTTGCAGCCACGTTCCTGGTCCACCTGGTTGTTTGGTTGAGAGACCCTGGGTCTCGATCTCCTCTTCGGGTCTCCCTCGAGTGTTCTCTGCGTTTTCCTCGTCGTTTTCTGTGTTCTCTGAGTTTTCCTCGGTTTTCTCTGTGTTTTCATCGGTGTTCTCTGTGTTCTCTGTGTTTTCCTCGGTGTTTTCTGTGCTTTCCTCATTGTTTTCTGTGTTTTCCTCGGTGTTCTCTGTGCTTTCCTCGGTGTTCTCTGTGCTTTCCTCGGTGTTCTCTGTGCTTTCCTCCTTGACGCCAGACGTCTCGTGCGGCTCCTCGGGCGCATTAGCACCCCTGTCATCCTGTGGTCCTATGTCGTGATTGGCTATGCCTAGCCGTGGTTCCGTTGATGGTGTACTCGATGTCCTATGCGTAGTTTCGTGGCTGCGTGGTCTTCGTGGTCGAGGTGGTGGTTCCGAGTGGTTGCCTTGGTTGCCGTGTTCCGGATCGTTACGCCTAGTCGGCTCGCCGTCTCCCGGCCTTCGTCGAGACAGAGTGAGGCTGGCCGTACCACAGCGGAGAGTGGTGCCGATGGAAGCTGGAAAATCCATCCCTAGGATTAAAGGTTCTAGCATGGCGGGCATTACTAGAAGGGGGACCTGAATTGTCTTCCGGGCGAGCGTCACGTCCGCCAGGAGTAACCTCGTTACTTCTACTCTAGGCGGTAAGCCGTCGTATTTCCAGGGGCGTGGTTATAATTGCTCCTCTCGAGGCTTCGCTTCTGGGCAGCCTCGAACTCGGTGGCCCAACTGAGCCAGTTCCCCAATGGTTCGGAACTCGCTACGGCGGATATACATCTGGTACTCTGGCGCGATGTTTTCGTATAACCTATCCAGCTCTTGGATCTCGTGGTAGCCCGCATGGCGCATGAGAACTCGAAGGTCTAACATAAAATCTTTGAACGTTTCCCCTTCCCGTTGCTCACGACTCCGAATCTGGTCGTCCAAGCGCTGGAGGTATCGGGGTGGGAGGAAAAACTCGAGGAATTCTCGTCGAAATGTGGTCCAGTCAGCCCCTTGGAGGCGGCTGGTCTGAAACCACTTTTCCGCTCTGCTCGTCAGCAGCTCTGCCATGGCTCGCGGAAGGAGTTCTAGGTCGATCCCGTAGGATAATGTCCGGCTCTCGACCTGTTCGATGAAGGCTAGTGGGTCTGAATACCCATCGAATTGAAGACCCCATTTACGAATTCGTTCGGGGACGCAGACAAACTCGCGGCGGTTCCGATCGTGGCTCGGATCTATAAAAGTTTCCCGTTTAGCGATCACTGGGGATCCTCCTCCGGAGGAGACACCTGGACTGTATCCGGCGCCCATGTTCGCGGCGCCCATGTTCCCCCAAATGTACGGGGCTCGGGGCACGTGAAGAGAATTGCCTCTCCAGGTCGGCGAGGCGATCCCAAACTTCTTGGTTTTGTTCTGAGTCTCTAACTAGGGTGGCAAAATTTCGACGCAAGTCGTCGACGATTCCCTCGGCGGAGAACCCGAATTCGTCAGCAAAGGCTAGTAATTCGGCCTTCAAACGTGAATAAATCCACCGCGAGGGGACCCCAGGGTTTTTAAGTAAGTGTGGAACGGACTCACCGGAAATTTTCTGGTCGGGACCCATGGTTGCAGCGCTGTTTTTGGTGTGTTGTCTTCTGGGAATAGTGTCTTTGTTGGTCTTCACTGTCCCTCTTGGGGCTATATGTTCGTGTTTTTCACAGGCACTTGGTCGCGTGGACTGTACGGGATCGCGAAGCAGCACATGGGCTGTGACCCCGGGCGCGTTCACTAGTTCGTTGAGGTTATTTTTCACGGGCGGTACACTTTGGTTTTAGTTTTCGATTGAGTCTCGCGGAATTTTGGGTTATGTCACTCGTCCTAGGGTTACGCACTCCCCATACAGGTGGTAATTTTCCTGGTTTTTCTCCCTATCAGGTCCCTGCTCGGGCGCCACTTGTAATGCAGTTCTCTGGCCGGGGTAGAATCTCAATCGGGGGCCAGGGAACCTGTACAAGAAATTTATATAGAAGGGTGGAACCTGTAGTAGGAATTTGTATGGGGTTGTAGTCTCGGCTAAGACGGGAGAACGCGTGGCAACCTCCGTGCCTGGTGGGGAACTTGGGAATACCCTGTTCGCACGATCTCGCCACTTGGTGCGGAACCCGGGAATATTCGTTGGTGGTTAGCCACGGAGGAGGATTCTGCCGGGCGAAATTTATATGTTTCGGCTGGGCGCGGAGTCGGTTAGGATGCTAAGGGTGTTGTACTCCGGCTGGGCGCGGGGCCTACTGGGGATACTGGGGAATCTATACTCCGGCTGGGGCGCGGAGCCTTCTGGCATGCGGGAGGATCTATACTCCTGGCTGGGCGCGGAGCCTACTGGGATTCAGGGATATTATACTCCGGCTGGGCGCGGAGCCTATGGGCATACGAAGGAATCTATACTCCGGCTGGGGCGCGGAGCCTACTGGGATGCGGGGGAAATCTATACTCCGGCTAGGGGCGCGGAGCCTACTGGGATTCAGGGATATTATACTCCGGCTGGGCGCGGAGCCTACTCGCATGCGAGGGAATCTATACTCCGGCTGGGACGCGGAGCCTACTGGGATGCGGGGAAATCTATACTCCGGCTAGGGCGCGGAGCCTACGGGCATGCAAGGAATCTATACTCCGGCTAGGGCGCGGAGTCTACGGGATGCGGGGTTAGGGAACTCTGGATGACTCGGAGGTTACGAGGATTCTAAGGTTAGGAAGTGGGAAAAGGGGTTGGAAACAATAAGAACACACGAAGATTTCTTTTCTAGTTTCAAGCTTTATTCAGTATGGGTCCTGGCTGCTGCCCTCACACTAGGGATACTGGGCTTACGTGAATGGCGTTGTAGATATACCTGTGGCGTTTTCGAATTAATTATCTCGGGGTGAATTTTCCGAGCGCGTCTATACTCGACCAGAGTCAAAACCAAAGAGGGCAAAGAAAGGCCGAGGGCGAAAAATCAGCGATCGCACTTTAGCCGCGTCTCGTGCTCGCTGAACTAGTTCCCCGCTATCGATCGCGGGAGTTCATGAGTGCGATAACGCGTTAGGGGGGGGACTCCGTGTCCGAGCTTATAACTAATAACAAACTTAAAACTAGGGTAGTAATGTATATGGAGGGAGAGGCGTGATTGTACGCCCTAAATTTAGGGCGTTACAATACCCTCTGCAAGGTTATAAAAACTGACGAACTGTGTTTTGGTCCATCTTTCAACTTTTTGCATTCGTGTAAAAATCGGTAGATAGTGAGCATTCTAACCAAGAAATAAAAATGTACTAACAACCAAAATTCTTCAATAAACATAATATTTCAAATTATATTTGAATCGCTTTGGCCCATAAACAATCAAATAAAATACTCGTCGTCGACCCAATTAGTGCAAACTTAATTCCCCCAATTTTCGTCGTAGTGAGCACCAATTTAGGGTATAAATAAAACAGCTGGAAAAAAGTGCAAATTGTGAAAAGTGTAGTTCCCAAAAATTACCGGCAAAAACTTTCGCCGCAGTTTGTCTGAACATTTTCCCGCGCTTTTCCAATTTTCCCGCGCTTTTCATCATTTTTGCGCGTCCTTCGGCATGAGGCTTATGTATTCGTGGCCCTTAGTTATCGGTGAGTGTATTATTCTCCGTTAGCATTTGCCTAGGAAGAGCCGCTAGCCGCGTACACATACACACGCACACCGACACCGCTGCCGCTATTTCGAGTTATCTTTGGTCGTTTTCGTTCTCGATCGCTGCAGCAGTGCAATTTTTGGTCTGCCTAAACGTTTGTTTGTTTTTTCGGTACGCTTGAGCTTGAGCGTTAGCTCCCCTACAGTGCGTGCCTGCGGTATATTACTGTCGCAGGGTTTATATAAAAAATATAAAAACCCTATTTAGATATTTTTCGCTGTACTTCTCTCGGCACTTAGCTCCCCTACACTGTGTTCGATCGGTATATTACTCGTTGATTTTTTTATTACATTATTTTACAAATAAATAATATTAATACAAAAAAAATAAATATTTAACACCTCTTCGATACCAACAAAATAAATACAAATAAACGCAATGGCAACTAAGGATATCGAAGAGCTTAAACACCAACGAGATGTTTGCATAAAAAGTATTAGCCTAACTTATCGCCATTTAAAAGAAGCTAAATTATCAGTAAGTCCGGTTGAGCTTGAGTGTCGATTAAAGATTCTAAATACGCACATTAAAAATGCTTCACTTTTGCAAAACCAAATAGAAGTTAAAGATTCAAAAGATGTATACCGCGAAGAATTGGAAGAGAGGGTCGTAATGACAAAGTCATTGCTGATTTTGATTTTAAATAAGTACAAACAAAATAATATTGACAAATCCGATCCGCCAGCAAATCGCCCGCCTCAATGCCGCCTGCCGAGCATTGCTCTCTCAACTTTTAGCGGAAAACACGCCGAATTTAAAAATTGTAGAAGCCTTTTCGAAACTTTCGTTGACAAAGGCGACACCTTACACGATATTGAAAAATTCAATCATTTAATTTCGTGTTTAGCTGGAGACGCTTTAGGAACGGTTAGGGTCTTTCAAGTCACTGCGGAAAATTATGCCAAAGCCCTTGCTAGCATGAAGCGGGTGTACGATAATGATTGTCCTATTTTTTGACAACAACTTCAGCTACAGCCTTGAGAACCCTCATCGACACGGTCACAGCCTTGTATGACTCCTTGCTGTCTATTGGAGATGATAGACGCATTACTAATGCCATTTTAATACATCTGGTAATGAGCAACGTCGATGCAGGAACTTTGGAGCGAATGTGAGGCGGCCCTCAACAGGCGATACCAACACATGGTAGCGGAAGAGGCTTGCAAGCCCAAAACTGTTCAGCAGACCCAATCTAACCCTAAGAAAAATGGAAATAGCAGTTTTTCGCTTGTCGCTGCCAGGAACGACTCTTTTCAATGCGTGTATTGCAACTCAGCTGAACATCAGATTGGAAATTGCGCTTCCTTCGCAGCCCTAACAGTTCAGCACCCTTTTGCACCCTTATGCATTAACTGCTTAAGAAAGGGTCACACGGTCAAAACATGCAAATCAAACAGATGTAGAGTATGCAATTCCTCACATCACACTTTTCTACACATATATTCCCCAAACATAAATCTCGCGTTGCCATCCCCTTCTCAGCCCACGCTCATGCAGGAGTCTGCATCCACGTCGCATGTTTTCCATGCGAATGCATCGGATCGAGTCATTCCTGCAACTGCGGTTGTGAGCGTTCAAACCAAAAGTGGCGAGTTTGTATTAGCTCGAGCGTTGCTCGACTCTGGTTCACAAATATATTTTGTGACCGATGAGCTCGCTCAGAGGCTCAAAATTACAAGAGAGGACGTGTGCATGAGCTTGCGAGGCATTGGTGGAACTAATGCCCAAGCCACAAAAAAAAATACACACGATTGTGAAGTCGCGAGTAGGGAACAGCCAGTTGTCGTCCGATTTTTGGATTATGAAAAATATTTCTGGTTATCTTCCGGATCAAGCGGTGAACACCAGCGGGTGGAGGGTGCCTGAAAATATTCAGTTGGCAGATCCATTCTTCTTCAAGCCCCAAAAAATAGATATGCTTATCAGCGCTGATACCTTCTTTGAACTTTTATCTATTGGCCAGATAAAGCAGGGGCCTGAATTCCCCATCCTACAAAAGACAGTTCTCGGCTGGATAGTGTCAGGCAGATGTGCCTCTGAAAATAATAAAAACGCTGAAAAAACGGTACATCTCAGCTGCCAGGAGGAAGCGTTGGAGCCAATTCACACAACCCTGCAGAAATTTTGGTCTGTGGAGGAATTGCCGCCCAAGGCTAAAGTCCATACTCCTGAGCAACAACTCTGTCAACAACACTTTGAGAAAAATACTCAAAGATTGTCGTCCGGTAGATTTCGTTCGTTTGCCGTTTAAATCTGACCCAAATACTCTTGGTTCGTCATACGAAGTTGCGAAACGTAGATTTTTGTCGCTAGAAAGGAAATTGTCAAAGGACCCTTCGCTGAAGAAGATGTATATTGAATTCATGGAGGAATATGTTTCACTGGGCCACATGTCCTCCACCAATGACAAAATTCCGAATACTCCGCACTATTTCATTCCGCACCAATGCGTTTTACGGCCACAAAGTACTTCAACTAAGTTGAGAGTAGTTTTCGATGCATCGAGCCGTACTTCTACGCAGGTAGCGTTGAATGACATCTTGATGGTAGGCCCAACTATTCAAGAGGAGCTGTACTCGACTCTGCTTCGGTTAAGAATGCATAAGTTTGCCCTTGCGGCCGACTACAAAAAGATGTATC